ACACGCAGAGCTCGCTCAGCAACTGCAAGAAAAGATCGATCTCAATGAGGAACTTAGAGAGCGGTTCGGAGCCGCGAGTCTGACCCTCCGCTGGACTCCTGCACTGGGACATATCGCCCACGTTAAAGGAAAAGATATCAGGAACCTCACGGACATCAAGACGCTGTCTGCCAGTCGATCCACCAGGTCTTTCCATCTGCCTGAATGGACATCACTCGGGCAGCGGCTCGACCAAGTGCGATTCCACATTCGAGCCGAGGAACAGCGAGTGTTTCACGCTCTGAGAGCGCAGGTGGTGATGAATCTCATTGAGCTGCGCCGGAACGCCGCCGTCCTAGACGAGCTTGACATCGCCACTGCGTTCGCCAAGTTGGCAACCGAGCAGAACCTGGTACGTCCTCAGCTCAACAATTCAACATCCCACACAATCATCGGTGGCCGCCACCCAACGGTAGAAGGCGGCCTCTACGAGCAGGGGAGAAGTTTTGTCAGAAACGACTGCCTCGTTGGGAGCCCATCGCATGGCCGATTGTGGCTTATTACCGGGCCCAACATGGCTGGCAAGAGTACGTTTCTGCGGCAGAATGCCCTCATCACAATTCTGGCACAGGTCGGCTGCTATGTCCCTGCCTCTTACGCTGAGATTGGAATCGTTGATGCCATATTCAGTCGTGTCGGATCGGCGGACAACCTATATCGAGACCAGAGCACATTCATGGTGGAAATGCTTGAGACGGCTCAAATCCTGAAGAACGCAACACCCAGGTCACTTGTCATCATGGACGAGATTGGACGAGGCACCACTCCAGAAGATGGCACGGCGGTCTCATACGCCTGTCTGCACCATCTTGTCACGGTCAACCAATGCAGGACGCTCTTCGCAACACACTTTCATGAGGTTGCAGATCTTGCCTCAGCAGAAGGGTTATGTCGCGAGGATAAAAGAGATGTTCGTTTCTACTGTACTGATGTGCAAGAGGATGGCCAGGGTGGGTTCATCTACATTCACAAACTACGGGAAGGAATTAACCGCCAAAGCCACGCTCTCAAGGTGGCGAGGCTGGCGGGGTTGCCAGCTGCCGTCATCGCCAAGGCAGAACATGTATTATCAAACGCTGTACAAACACAAGAGGTTTCCACCTCTACGGAATGAAGCTCATGTAATATGAAAAGCCATTTAGAATCGGGATTTCAACCATTATGAAAGTTGCCTGTAATCTTTTCTCAAATAGTTAGCGAATGTGTTCTCTTCCCAAGAATTTCAAACAATAAATAGATGAGATGAATATTCTGTCATAGGGTGGTGATGTGTTTGTCATCAATAATGATTCAGGGTTAAAAAGCTCTTGTGTTTATTATAATCATCCAGAAAAAAATAAAGCGATGCAAATGTATAAAGTGAAGAAGCGACTAACCTTTTGAGAAGAGTAAAGCAAAAGAGAGCTGGCCCTGTTACATTTTCTGTGTTCACATTGCATCGTAAGAAAGAACTCGTCGAAATCGTGTCTCATTGTGACGGATAGGTTCGTCAGTTTTCTATGAAATAGCGCCCAAGGACTTTCGTCTATGGACCCTAATCGAAACTCTGGTTTCCAATCCGGCTCCCGAGGCTCATATCGCCGTTTAGTCGCTATGAATAGAGTTAGTTTAGCCATCACGGCAGAAGGGGGAAATGGTTTCACGTACAAAAGACCACCGAAGCCCTCCTCTTCTTCCTCCTCCTCTTCCTCCTTCTCCTCCTCCTTGGCGGCGGCAGCAGGAGCATCACCACCGGCAGCGGCGGTAGGAGCGGCAGAGGCGTAAGCATCGGGGTTGGCGATGCGGTCCTTGAGCTCTTCAATCTCGGGCCAGGTGATCTCAGTCTCAATGGCGACGGCCAAGACCTTCTTGTATCCGTTGACGACGGAGTGGATGACGGAAGGAATGGTGGGGAAGTTGATGGCCAGGGAGATGGTGGCAATGGTGGTGATGGCCTGGGTGAAGGCCTTGAGGAGCTGCTCCTCACCAATGTCGAGGACGGAGGGGGGGAAAGCCTGGCCGTCGTCGTAGACCTGGGCGATACCCATACCGTAGGTGAAGGGAGAGATGTTCAGCATGTTGAGCAGGGTAGCCTCGGAAGGACCGACCTTGCTACCGGCCTCAACGAGCTTCAGGTCGGTGGTGATTTCAATGGTACCACGGGCAATCTTGGTGGGGACACCGAGAGCCTGGAAGAAGGAGGTCTTGCCGGGTTCCATACCGGTGTTTCCGGCGGGGACCCAGACGTCGGCGGGAGCGAGAGCACCAGCACGAGCAGGGGCGGCAACACGGTTGGCGAGGATCTTGTCACGGACCTCCTTGAGATCACCGTTGGTGAAGACGAAACCAACGTTGCCACGGACGAAGGGCAGGAGACGCTCGTACTCGGGGTGGTCGGGGACGAAGGTCTTGAGAGCACGGCGAACCTATTTTTCATTGCTCAATTAGCACAAGTTTTCGCGAGGGCGCGATCAATCGACGCGCGACGCTTGATTGGGTCTGTAGAGCTTACCATGGTGTTCTTGCCCATCAGGACAACACCCTGTCCACGGAGGGACTGGCGGATCTCGTGCATCTGCTGAGAGGAAACATTGTCGATTTCGACGATGAAAATGGACTTATATTCCTCCAACAAGCCCTGGAGCTTGTCGAAGTAGCCGCTCTTGTTCTTGCTGCCCCCCATATCTTCTTTTCCCTGAAGGCAGGTTGTTTAAGGGCAGTGGTATCTGGGTATATGGAAAATGTGTGGTGAAGAGCGAGAATGAAGCTTCAGAAATTTTGGATTTTCCCAAGAGGCTGGTAAATAAGTTGTGCTGGGTCTGAATTAGGGCTTCTATGATCTAAGCCTAAACAGGTATGGTGGCTCAGTCCTTCCAAGCGAGGCAGGTACGTACCTGCGATCAGAAAAGGCAAGGTACGTACCCAAGTACCCAGGTACCGCTTAGAGCAGTGAAGCTTCATGAGTGGTAGATTTTTCGGAGCTTCTGACTCCAGCCCAGAGGAATCCGACTCATCCATTGGCAAACTCGATTATTGATGGCTGGTTAATATTTCAATTCCTCCGGACTCCAGATCAGCTTGCCTGCATTTTCTCAAAAACTAGGCTTTCTGCCAAGTGCCTAAATTCCTCTCGCAGCTATGAAGATCCCATATCACAATACTCATGTCTGTAAAGGCATTATATTTGCCGGCAGGTCTGGCCAGCTTCACTCCTTCAGCGCCCAAGACGGCAGTTACATCTCGACTTGGAAGCATCCAGATGCAGAGAAGGTTTCCGATGCTTTCAAAGCCATAGCTGAAGCGGAAAAGGTTGAGGCGGAAAAGGCCGAAACAGTCAAGGTGGTTCCTTCCTCCGCCGCTCAAGAAGATGGAGATGAGCCTCCTGCTAAAAGGCAGAAGACTGTTGAAGCAGATGATACTGAATCCGCTCCCACTGAAAAAGCACCCGTCGACGAGGCAAAGGGCAAGGACCAAGTGGGGAAGAAGAAGACACCTGCCCGGACTGCAAGGTCAGCCGTATCCAAGGTGCCGGATCGCCCTCTCATCGCACACATCACCAGCACTGCGGATGGAAAGCATGTGATAGTCGTCACAGCTCACGACAAGGCTATTTGGGTCTTGGAGCATGACTTGGCAGGTAACCTGAAGGAACTTAGTAAGAGGTAGGTTTTCCCCCATGTATGCACTTTGCAGATGGATCACGGTTCACTAACATGCTCTTCTCAGGGTTATGCCCAAACGCCCAAGCTCAGTTGTTCTGGGTCCTGATTCTCAAATTATCTGCGCCGACAAGTTTGGCGATGTCTACGCTGTCCCCTTGATTCAGTCAGAAACGTGGACGCCTGCACCTTCTCGGCAGGCCATCACTAAGCCTGAAGCCAATCCCCTGACAGTTCATTCAAAGCGAAACCTTGCCTCGCTTAAATCGCAATTGAAGCAAATCGAACTTAACAAAAGGGACCTCCCGAGCACAGATGGCCCAGCATTTGAACAGGCATTGTTGCTTGGTCATGTTTCAATGCTAACCAAGGTCGTTCTGGGAGAGCAGGAAGGTCGAAGATATGTGCTCACTGCTGATCGAGATGAGCATATTCGAGTCTCGCGCTACATCCCCCAGACACACGTCATCGAGGCATTCTGCCTGGGCCACAGGGAGTTCGTCAATGCCTTGACGATCCCCAGATCGCGAAACGATATTCTTGTTTCTGGCGGCGGTGATCCAAACCTCTTCGTCTGGAATTGGCCATCAGGCAAACTCCTTTCCCAGACTGACATTCTTTCGCTCGCTCAAAGGGTGTTCCCAACAACGTCCGAGATTGCAGTTTCTCAATTGGAATCTTTTGATTACCCATCAGAGTCTGGGAAGATCACTTTCATCCTAGCCATCTGTGAAAAGTAAGCCCCCATCGCTCCAAATGAACTAAATCAGATAGTGCCATCCTGCTAACGCGTGGATTAAAACAGCATCAAAGCAATTTTCGCTTGGGAACTGACCGACGAGAACACTCTGAGCCATCCCAGCATCATCCAACTTCCAGGAAACCCCCTCCACCTCGCTTTCAACTTGGAGGACGAGAGCTCGCCGAAAGTTGTCGTCGCTCTCGATCCCGGGAGCGAAGGTGCTGCTCCCAGCTTGAACATCTACTCCTTCCAACTGAGCGAGGGCACGTTAGCCACCGACACAACGAGCAGTGTTTCAGAGAGCGCTGCAGGAGAGTCGGAGGATCTCGTTGCGACTGAGGCTGAAGTGAAGTCCCTTCTCTATACAGTAGAGCATCTACGGAAGAAGACTGGTGAACCTGAAGAAGAGGGAGAAAAGGCTACCGAGGCTGGCACCGAGGGCCAGGCATGATAAATAGGATCAAAATAATCAATCAATTTCAGTAAACTGCGCCAAATTATGGCGAGCTGGCCTAAGTTCTTCGATTCAAGAGTTGATGCAAAAGAGATAAAACAACGCTTGCTACAATTTTAATATCCGATCAAGCCCCTGCAGACTCCAGGATTCCTTCTATCGCTTCGTCAAAGCTTCCAGCTCCCCAGTGATGGGGGAAGTCTCGCCAGCCGCTGAACAAATATGCAAGCTCTTTACCCGCTTCGTTCTTCAGTAGAAGATTAGCTGGTGACTGGTTGTCTTCCAGCATATTCTTCGTCACATCCTGGCTGGAATCCAATACATGAGGTTTATCTGGTGTGTCTATCCCACTTTTATACTTGCCAATACTGTCCAAAAGAGAGGTGTCGATCGAGAAGTCAACCGATGGTGTAGAGCCTGGCATTGATAGAGATGTCGGATCCACAAAGGTATTGGGTGTTGCCGCTGTAGGAATCATAACTTTTGTTTCTGGCTCGACCTTGGGATTTCCCATAGCAGTCGAAAGGCTGATGGATGCCTTCTGAAGAGCCATTTTAAAATAATTTATGGTGGAATCCGCTGCAATGTACGTTTCTTGCAACGTCTCCATCACCCGCATACACGTCGAGAATCGCTCTGTCGCCGCTTGCCGTACGCCTGCATCACGGCTCTTCATGTCCAATAGACTGATCACCATCGCAGGGAAAATAACCGTGACTCCCGAGACAGGCAGGAACCTATCAAGGTGCATCTCGCCCAGGTTCTTTGCTATTCGGGTAATCTGCACCGCGGAATTTCGAATTTGGTAGACGGAGTTCGACTTTGGCCGCTTGTTTGCCGGAGTAAGCAGTTTCGGTGACGTGGGGAGAAATCTTGGTCGATGAAGAGAATAAAGAATCGTTTGGAATGTCATGTGGAGATGAGTGCGCTGAACTGCAATTGTCGCGCTTCCATTATCAAGTTCAGCCTGCTCTGCTGGGCGGTCCTCACACGACCTCGGCAATGAGCTCTTCCAATTGTTTAGTGCAGCCTCCGCCTGTGAGAAATCATGATCGAGCTTCTGGCTCCACTTTGAGTTGATAGCCATCATGGCAGACATTGACTTGTCATGAGCATCTTGAACGTGGAGAACCGACGCAACAAGAGCACATAGGCGAGACCGATATATGAATAAGTCCACTAATTGGAGCTGCTGGTTTAGATCCCGAAGTGGTGTGTTTCGTGATCTGATGATGGTGTTGTCGTCGGGCAGCACGTTAAGTTCAAAGTCATTCAGCTCCAGTCCAGTCACAGTAACGTCTTCGTTGTTGATTCGCATAGGTCTTCGAAGCCCAAGAGCCAGAAACCGGTCCCTGGAATAGCATGACCACCAGATCCTCCGCCAGAGCCTCTGCTCCCGAGGCGGCTGAACAAGGATGGTCGATTGGTTGTTCATTCCAACTGCATATGCCATGGAGATTGCCACACCCAGCCAGTGCCACGAGTCTTTGTTAGCGTGCGGCATGTCAGACCAAGATGACATGAGCAGTGCTACTTGGACGAGAGTAACTTTATCTCTCTCATATTCTAGATCATACAACAGCTAGAAAGCAGGTGAGCCTCTGTACGAGAAATTGCAAGATATGACAAAGACTTACTGTTACCCGCCGGGCTAATTCCTTTCTGGCATCTCTCCTGCTTGAGAAACCGTGGTTTTCCTGTCTTAAATGCTTAGTATCGACAAAGGCGGATCCGGCAAACAGGATGGCTTGATATAATAAGAGGCTAATACGCTGCCCCGAGTTGTTTGGGTTGTGGATTGTATTCAACAGATCATGAATGTGAGCCAAAGGCATGTAGGGATATGCAAATTCCGCCCAGGCTTCAACGAGAGCATGCTGAAGGGACACGCTCGGGAGGGTCAAAGCACCTTCTGCTAGGAGGAACATGATGTGGCCTTGTCTGAAGTGTTCAGGTGGGGTTTTGATAAATTCAGGCAAAGGAGGCCAAAAGTTCTGTGGCGCTTCAAGCGACATCATAAAAGAATCCGAGTTATCTGTGAATAAAGGGGCGCTGAATGGATCTGAATAAATATCGGGCACTATCCATTCTGTTGGGGCAAATTGCCCAGGCTGTGTGTCTTGGTTCTGAGAGACTGGACGAATGTTAGCTAAAGATTTCAAACATGGGCTTATAGACCTGGTCTCACTGGTTGTGCAATTGGCTTGATCGGTGATGGACGTGGAACTCTGCTCGCTTATCGAGGCTTCCGGCTGATCTGCCATTACCAACGGAATCCCAGCACCAACTTTTCTACAAGAGCATGAATAGTTAGTGACAGATCCAATTGCAAAGGGATGGATAGCAAAAGACCATGAGAGCATCTCCACTTCCTAATTACTTCAATTCCTCCAACTGCGATTGGACTAACCTGCTACGAGAGGCAAACAACGGTGCAACTTTGGAGTTGGATGTACGGCGTGCTGCTCGCTTCAGAGCATGGAGACGAGCATCCCTTGCACGGTCTCCCAGATTAGTTCGCCCACGCCTCCTCTTTGCCAGGTCATGTCTTTTCAATTTTGACCCCAGCCGGGATTTTGATTTTGACAATTGTGTTGCGCTCATCACGTCCGCAGTTCCTGGGCCGTGGCTATCCGGATCCAACCGAGCGGGGTGTATAAATGGCATTGGTATTGCTCCCAATGGAGATTGTGCAAAGCTGGACAGCGTATGAGCACAAATCTTCAAGTCGATCAATGGCCAATTCCAGTGGGTGAGGGAAAGGAAAAAGAAAGATTAGTCCCGGACGAGAAGGAAAAATAACCTGGTTGGAGGGGGAAGCCAAGAACAAAGCCCCAACTGATCGAGAAAATCCCAGCGACCCCTGTCCACTGTCCACCCACTGCGGGGGGGCACTGATACGCATCGGCGCTTTCATTTGTAGGCCCCCGCGGGGTGGCTGCTGACTAGTGCATATGCAGCAGATTGAAACCAGTCACTTGATCGCAATCACGAGGTGCGCAGGCAGGGTGAGAATTTTACGTTGCGGTGGCTGCACCCATCCAATTGCTGATCTGACAGATCATCGGTTCCGATCAGTGCTGAGCTTCGATCTGGTGCCTGACGTCGTATCTTTGGCAGCACGGAACCTTCGGCAGCATGTTCGAATATCCAATGCAACCACACCATCGCCCGCACCTACCCAGAGACCTCGAAGACGTCTCAGAGGGAAGGAGCCACATCATCCAAACCAATACCTCTTGCTTAGTCGGGCGTCTAATTCTGTTCCATTGATTTCTTCCAATCCCGTGGTCAACACTAAGTTCTGTCTGTCTGTTTGAATTTAAAGGGGCGCACTCACCCCGCAATCTGCTATCATTCAAGTGGCTACGTGTGGACTTCTGGAGCCTCAATTGGAAAGGCGGGGCTCACTCGAGATACATCCATATCGCACATGCATACAAGTCGACAGCCATAGAGTTTTATGCCTACAAACTAGAAGAATACGAATGAAGCCTACTAATTTACCAAGATGATCCCACAGAAACGATAACATCGCATCATGAGAGCAATATCTCGTTCTCGACATGCTCTCCAAGAACCTGGGAGCGTCTCCTACTCGATTTTATGGCAGGAGGGAATATATATCACAGGCAATTAACTAATGCTGGGCAAATTAGGCACTTTTCTCTCTACCTATACAAACATTTCATTATGGTTTAACTCCATATAAATTGCCGCGTATGAGAAGACCAAGCATGAGGACAAAGATATCCATAGTTCCAGTGAATGAAGGAGAGCTCATCTTCGCATCCGGACCGGAACGGCAAGTGGACTCTACTAGACTCATCCCGGATTTGACCGGGCCGGAAGAGAGCACTTGTTCCTCGTCTTCAAGCATCTACACGGCGAATACCCAAGTATTAGTACTGGTAATGAGCGCTTCCATTGCTTTACTCGGTCCCACCCATCGGTGGCGCTCTCTATAAGATCTTCTTTTCCAGATGCATCCCTCTGAGACTCTGCAATTCACTTGACTTCGAATGAGGCAGAAATATTAACCCAAGTTCTCATCCGAATGACGCTGTGAGATTAGACGTATCCTATAACATAGAGCAACGAGACTCGGAGGATCATACCGGGCTTTATATTATTCAAAGGGTACGGAAGTTAGACAACAACGACCTCTACTGAGCCGAAAGAGGTCATTGGCTCCACACCACCCAAGAGCTCTCATCGCGTTACCTTGCATCATCGACCCAACCCCAAGTGCTTTCTCTATATGTATTCGAGTTTCGAGTTTCTTCGTCATACCATCATGTCAAAGTAGCTTGAATACACCCAGGTAAAACCAGATACGGTTATCCAAAGGAGGGAAAGTTTGGATTTGGCACTCTCTCTCTCTCTCATTATGTATACCAAGTAGATATATATACCACTACCGTCCAATGCAACCCCCTTCATCACAAATCCACAAGACTTCGAGTTGAAGTCGACCCATCAAGCAACGCCATCATTGACAGGCTTGGACCAAGACAGCTGCCAATCCATAGGTCTAGCCCAACAGGCTCCCAACAATCTCATAAAATGTTCAAAATAAGAAGTGAAAAAATAAGTTGCCGGTTTTCTTGACACGCCTCCTCGCCGGACGATTCATGATAACCACAAAACTTCTAACCCCAAAACACTACCTCCTTGCTTCGAAATATAAAAAGTCTATAAGTGTGTGCAGCGACCCGTCTATTTTGCCAGAACCTGCCTCAGCATCACCAGGAAATTCTCCTTGAGCTTGTGGACCTCCTCAACGTGCGGTTTCGGGGGCTCTCCCGCCGACCGTCGCAAGCGATCCTGTCGCTTCGCGCGTCGTCGTCGCTCGGCCTCTATGGGATCCAGTTCGTCCTCCAGTTGAGCTTCTGCCTCCTCGTCCGAGCCATCGTCATACGTCATGTCCTCGAGATCTTGTCCATCCAATCCAAAATCAGATGTTTTGAAGCCAGAGCCAATCAGACCCGTGTCGTGGTGAGCCTCGGCAGCAAGCTTCTGTCTTGTCTTGTCCGTGTGCCACCTCTTACGGGCCTCTTGCCAGGCGATGAGAGAGTTGATTTCGGCAATCGCCTTCTCCTTATTTAGTCCACTGTTAACCCCGCCCTCGAAGAGTGCGTTGACATCCAGTGTTCCGTTATTAGGACCGTGGCGGAGGAACTCGAGAATTCCTTCAATCCATCCCATGAGCTGCGTAAACAACCCATTATCATGGACGTGAACTTCGTGAACAAACTTGTAAAAGTTGTGCTCGTGCCTTTCGCAAAGATCGATAAAAGCCTGAACGGTCTGATTGGGATCAGCCGAAGCATCTTGCTCCCGGCATTTATCAACCACCTATTTCAACATCGTTAGCTTTCTTCGGGGGGGTCCTCCATGATTCGAAAATTATTTTCCTCTGTGCATACCTGAATGATATCATCAACAAAAACGGCAAAGTCCGTAACGCTGTTATAAACATTTGCTGACTTGTATACCCTCACCAGGGGTTCGTAGAATATAGTGAACAAATCGCGGAAGAGTTGCAGGGTGACGGGCTGCTCAATCAGCTCAAGCATCATTTGCTTGTCCCGCTGCCGCGTGCAGAGCTTCATCATTTGCTTCAGATATGAGAACAACTGGGCTCCCTCACGCATCTCCTCGTCAATGTTCTCCACGGCGTTGTTGAAGGCAACATATGCATTAAACAGACGCTCGACCTGTTCACCAGACAACTCCGGCTCGATCAAATCAGATCTTAGAAGTGTCACAATGATATCAAGACCATCGGCTTCCGCCTCTTCTCGGATGGCCTCGTGGACACTTTGGTCGGCATTTGTGTAGGCATAAATCTTCTCGGCAAACACCGGGTCCCCAGTCTTCGCGTTGAGGATGTCAATCGACTTCTGAAAGCTTCTTATGCCCTCATTAAGGGTAAGAGAGAAGATGCGCTGCAGGAGTGACCGGGTACCAAAAGGCTGTGCAAGGAAAACATCGAGAATCCCAGACATCACAGCCGCTGGGTTGGCGATCCGGATGACGTTCTTGATAACAGTGTATGGCACCAGCGAGTGGATTCTCCGGGCCTGTGCAAACAGCTCTGGGGAATTGTCTTCGGCAAGGAACACATGGTAAATGACAGCGGCGATCTCGATGCGGAGCCATTCAGCGAACTTTCGATACTGAATGCTCAGATCTGGAATCGTTTCCTTTTCTTTGATTTCAGCAAAAAGCTTGGTCAGACCATGGCTTTCCACGATATCCCGGCGGAACCTAAAGCAAAACATTAACAAATCAACGTTCTATTGCATCGCTTGATCTGCTATACTCACTGTTCCATATATTCATCGAGGTCCGCAGCTCTTTTGCGGGCTATCTCGTAGAACTTCTTCTGTTCCTCTATCCGTTTCTCATCGATGAGTTTTCGTCGGACGATATCGTCAACATCTTCATCAGTCGGCGTGATCGGGTCGCCACTCAGAAACTCCTGTACAGCCTTGGTGTTGGCAATCTGAGGGTTGTGGAGAAGAGATCGGATGAAGGCTCGCAAAGACACTCTTTGCTTCTCTCGCCAAAGAACAATGTCCTGACACGATATTAGATATAACCAAATTAGGGAAGCGAACAATACAACTAACTTCTTTCTTCTCTTGGTCTTTTGCCGACAGTGGTGTAAGACGACCATCCGCAGATGTTCTGGGTGAAACCACTTTTCGGGAAAGACTGGACCTGATGGAAGCAGCACTTGATGAAACTTCTCGGCGATGTCCTAGGGACCAAAATTAGCACAGGGCACACAATACAACTACCATAAGCAAAGTTTCCTTTTCTCACCTGCATCAGTTGGGGAAAGTAAGGATTTAGTCTTCAACCCCGAGCGGCTTGTGATGCGCGTCCCGCCAGAGGAGACCGAGGACGCATCCGATTCGTCGCCATTCCCAGATCCCAAAGATGACAGAATCCCGTTCGCAGTCGAATCCGACTTGTTCTTCTGCGGCATGGCTGGCAGTGTCCTTCCAGGCAGCTCCAGCCTCAGGCGACGATGAAGCCTGTGGAAGTCGCCATACCTGCGGGTGACGAAATGCTCAAGCTCTCCCTTCTTCTTGATCCTCAGGATAAACTCCGCGTGCTTCTGGCTTCGGAGGATTCCCCTGACGGTCGTCACCCGCACACCAGAAACGTTGACGTCCCAGCCATTGATGTAATTGCCCTCGGGGATGTTGAACTGAACCCCCGTGTCTATGGCGTTGGCGTCGACTATTTCGAGCTCGGAGAAACGGATGCGCTCTTCGAAACCGGAAGATGTTCGTATTCCAGAAACCATCATCAGCTCGACCAGCTTCCTAGCCTTAATCGCCAGCTTGCGTCGCTTGGTTTCCTCGAGCCGGTCCTCGGAGGATGAAATTCGTTTACCGGCGAAAGACTCCAGAAACTATTCGAGGTGATTATCAAGTTAGTGATCGTGGCCTGCGCAACAGAACGGCTTGAGGGGGGGGCGAGCGGTGGGGTCCCTCTGGGCAGAACGTACCACTTGCAGCTTATCCTGCCAAAACTCCTTCTCCCGAGCCTTATCAAGAAAAGGGAAATCGCGAATGTGGTTGACAAAGATGTAGCGCAGGATCGGGAGCTCCGAATCCTCGGGGGCGACCTCGCCGTGGTCGGACTTG